GTCTATACAATTACAAATAAATTAAGATGTCTCTTTAAATTCGTAATAGAATCAATAAGAATTACGTTAGACAGCACTCAATGTGGTATTATTTATAACTGAAGAATCCAAACAACGGACAGTAGGAATGACGATGCTTGTTTGACTACTGAGACCTCTCCAAGAATAGCTTATCAATTATATCTATGGAATTAGGATTGCTCGTAGATTAGATCTAGATTCCTCTGATAGTTCTTCGATAGATAATGGTAATTGAATCGTTCGAGTAATGCCAATCACGATTTTCCGTTTGAAACGAGAAATGCCGCGCCCCTGTTTTGTCTTTTCATTAACTTCCTATTAGCGAATGAGGGTGGATCCGCAATTACCTTTCGTCCCCATCAGCAATTCCTTATCTGTCCAACTTTTCTAACGTTCTTCTAACGCAATTTACTGCGACTCGTGAGACCACTTGAATACCTGTCGTCATAGTTCTGCAAACATATTATACAGAGTGTTTCAGAAAAAGTGTCACAAAGGGGAGATTCTGTATGTATTTCTGTACAATATTTTCCTTTGGCAAAATATAGAGTGAGGTATAGTCTTTGAATTATTAACGAAAAACGCTGACCAATGAGAACAGCATAGGCCAACTCTCAGCCACTAAAGCGTTGGCTCGGGTCGTGACGCTCGGCAGTGGCTGAGCGCGGGACCTACGCGCGCTCTCATTGGTCAGTGTTCTTCGTTGATAATTCAAAAACTATACCTCACTTTGAATTTTGCCAAAGGAAATTGTTTCTCAGAAAAATTTCCAGAATCATCCGTCTCCACGACACTTTTCCTGGTGTGAAAACTGGGATATCGAACCTTGGACTCTATCTGCTATGACTCTCTTTTACGACGAGCGAAGGCGGATTGATCGCGAAGCTTCGCTGCGCGTATAGAAAAAAACTGGTATCAGGAAAATGATACACGTGCTCGTACTTTAAATCTCATCCGTCTCTACTATCAATCGTCCTTAAAAAATATCGTGGGATGCGAAAAATTCAATCCGTGAACTATAAATCAAATGCTCAGAGTTTATTTCTCATTCCAGTGATAAATGTTATCTTGATGGTAAATAACGTGTGATCTTATGAGGGACAAGTTAAAATGAAGAAAATATAGGTTTGAGAATTTTTAAAATAATGATAGATCTCAGGTCATGTGTTTGTCGTTATAAAAAATCTTGTGGGCTTTAAAT